TCTGAAATACGAAGGCGGTTACATAAGATGAAGACAATAAAAAAGACAAAAAGAAGTTGATCTCTATCCATTATTTATTCTTTTAACAACTTCGAAATCAAATGGAACAAATCCAGGAAAGTACCGCTGGTGTGGCCGGTTCAGCTAGCCGGCCCGCTAACAACAACAGCCCCCTGGCGCGCGTATCCAGCTGGCCACCGAATTTTACCGGCCCCACTGGGCCCCACAGTACCGGCAAAGGCACGCTGCAGGGCCTGGCACGCTGGTTAGTGTTACTGGGGGGCGGGTTGTCGTGTTGCTGTTAGCACGCCTGGCGGTTAACCCTGGGTGCCCCAGGGTCCGGCGTTTATTTGGCGATAGATTTCGGGAGAAACCGTATTTGTCCGCTGCCATTATCCACCCAAACCCCTTCGTCCACGCGAAGCCCTCTATATAAACGCCTCATGCGCGAGGAGATATTTCGAATTTAGACCCAGTGTGCCAAGTAGGTCTGCCGGGAGTATGGCTTCCCGTGACTTTTACTTAGGAGATAGACACTCGCGCGCGGGGTGGCACCCAGGCTAGCCCGACGGGTACCCGCCGGTGGACCGCTGTGTCATTCCCCCGGCGCCGGCTGTAATGGCTAGCGCTTACTGTCGCCGCATTGTTTACGGGAGGCCAGGCGCGCGCTACCGAGCGGGGATCAATGTATGCACGACGATCTGCAGGGGCCGCAGCGCAGGATCGTAAAAAATGGCCTAATAGCATACATAATAACATCTACATAAGACCTACACGAACCAGCGCCCACCCCAAAATTTCCAGTACGAAATAAAAATACCAAAATTTTATCGATCCTGTCAATAGTACAATAATTTGCACTGCTGACAGGAAAAATCCTGTCAGCAGTGCAAATTATTCTACTATTGACTAGACGATCCTGTCAGCAGTGCAATATTTTCTGCTATTGACAGAACGATCCTGTCAGCAGTGCAGTATTTTCTGCTATTGACAGGACGATCCTGTCAGCAGTGCAATATTTTCTGCTATTGACAGGACGATCCTGTCAGCAGTGCAATATTTTCTGCTATTGACAGGACGATCCTGTCAATAGCCACAGGCCTACAAAATTTCTCGTCAAATGTCGTGCTGATTTTACTCACATGACACTGTTCCTTAGAATGTAGCGTCATATTTTAATACTAAGTACATTCAAATTCCAGCAAGATTAAACTTTACTAACTGAACCAATTTTCGCACGATAAAAAGTCTCACCTCCTTTATATATAAAAGCTTGCTGTTGTTGTTTTCCGCTAGACAGGCTATCGCAAAATGAACCGTGTGATTTTACGGCAACTCTGACGTGACCAGTGTTTTACTGCAAATTAGGCAACATTTTCCTTTCTTTAGACACTTAATGAGCATTGCAATGTTTTCTGGGCGATTAGAGGTCATGGATAAACAGCATTTACCGATTTGAAGGGTGCGGAGTCTTATTTTTGCGCGCTGAGAATTGTCGTAAAATCGCACGGTTCAGCCTTATATACATAATTTATTCAAAACGTAAGAAAATGATATTTTCTTTTGTTCAAGAGCAGATACAAAATTTTCATGTGATGGCAGTGACTTGATGCACTGCATGACTTAATGCATTGTATGTATATGACAATATGAATGTGAATTTATTGTGAAGTCATCTTATTTAAGTGCTGTATTTATCGAAAACCACACTATGGCATAGCACTCAGTATAAATGGCTTCTGCATTGCTTTTAACCATCGAACCTACCAAACACCGTGCCATTAAACCGGGCACTAAGCCGGGGCATGCCCCGGCAAAAAAAGATGCCTGTGGCTATTGACAGGATCGTCCTGTCAATAGCAGAAAATATTGTACTGCTGACAGGACCGTCCTGTCAATAGCAGAAAATATTGCACTGCTGACAGGATCGTCCTGTCAATAGCAGAAAATATTGCACTGCTGACAGGATCGTCCTGTCAATGCAGAAAA